GTTGTTGTTTTTTGCAGGCATCCTTCTAATTACAGCTGCTTTTACCTTTGTCCACTGGGTGTCACTATGACATTACTAATAGTGTTCTGAGCTGCATTAACTCTGAACAATTATCTGTTGGATTAACATTAAAAAAAATTTTGCATTGGTTGCACATATTTATATTATGTTCTCTCAACATTATTTACCTCTCTTTATGTAACCTAACACTTTTCAAATGAATTATTTTTTATGTTGTTTTTATGCTTTTTATGCCACATTACCTCCTGTTGATGTAACATGATTTTTGTTTAAATGAACGTTATGAGCTTTAACCACTATATGCAGTGGTGTTTCAATAACTTATATAAGATGCTTTTTTAAATAAATAAAAGCGTTTTAGCAATCTTTATATTGTAGATTTTTAATTAAGGCAATAAGCAAAAACATTTCTTGGAAAAAATACTGTATTTTTTCAACAGTACACAACAATCCATACAGATTAAAAATATAGAGATGCATGTTACACACATAGCTCAGTTGTTTGAAATGCATAACATAACCCCATATAAAAGCAAAATCTAAAACTAAAAATCTAATAATACTTCATCTCCGCCCCAAGCGCAGCTTTGGGGCACCATTGATTTCCATACTAGGAAAAAAATACTATGGAAGTCAATTGTGCAATTCTTGCAATATAGAGTGAACGCTCGATAAGGGAACTACTTTATTTAGCTTCAACATGACTAATTCTACAGTCAAACCAAAAATTATTCAGACACCAGATATATTTTTTTATATTTTTTTACTAGCAGGTACAGGACACTATAGTTAATTTATGTAAGTGAGGATAGCAAAATAAAGTAAAATATGACACATTATACCCACAAAATGTTTCATACAGTGGACTACCAGTGAAATTGATAAAAATTTGGATCAAAAATGTGATTTGACACTTTGACCTGACCATGTTTTGTTAAATACCTTTCTATCAAAGTTATCTGACATTATCAAGATGAATTTGTTCTGACACAGTTTAACTCTGAGTTCTTCTTGTCATATTTTATTACCATTTTCTAAACTATAGAGAATAAACTGATAATGTGAGAAATGTTGAAGGTGTCTGAATACATTTTAGTTTGACTGTATATGACTGAACATCCTTACAGAATAAATACATGGTACATGATTCAAATATGTTTAGATGAGAAGCATAAATGAATTATGTACGAAATGCATATTTAAAAAAAAAAAAGTCAACAACCTCCCCATTTTATTCAGTGTCTTTATACTTCAAAAAAATAATAATAATGATGTGTTTGAATAAATCATTTATAGTAAAAATTGCAATATTCAGTAAAATTAAGAATTGTCCATTTTCACTTCATGGTGATATATGTGTCTATACTGCTGTTCAAAAGTTTGGGATCAGTAAGATTTTTCATGTTTTTTAAAGAAGTTTGTATTTATTTTATCAAAAATATAGAGAAAAACTAATTTTGTGAAATATTATTGCAATTTAAAATATCAGTTTTCTATTTTGATGTATATTAAAATATAATTTATTCCTGTGAAGCATAGCTGAATTTTCAGCATCATTACTCCAGTCTTCAGTGTCACGTGATCTTTCAGAAATAATTCTAATATGCTGTTGGAATGTTGGAAACAGTTGTGCATAATATTTTTTGGGACCTATATTTTTTCCTGATTCAGGATGAGAAGGTGTTTATTCAAAATAGAAATTTTGTGTTACAATATTCACTACTATTCCAAAGTTTTGGGTCAGTTAATTTTTTTCTTTCTTGCTTTTCTTCTTTTTTTTTTTTAAAGAAATTAATATTTTTATTCAGCAATGACATGTTAACATGATAAAATGTGATAGTAAAGACTTTTATCGTTTCTATTTTGAATAAATGCTGTTCTTTTTAACTTTTTATTCATCATAGAATCAAAGAAAAAAGTATCACAGGTTCCAAAAAAATATTAAGCAGCAGAACAGTTTCAACACTAATAATAAATCAGCATATTAGAATGATTTCTGAAGGAACATGTGACACTGAAGACTGGAGTAATGATGCTGAAAATTCAGCGCTGTGTCACAGAAATCAATTATATTTTAAAATAAATTAAAATAGGAAACCAATATATATATATATATATATATATACATATACACTCGCCGGCCACTTTATTAGGTACACCTGTTAAATTGCTTGGTAACACAAATTGCTAATCAGTCAATCACATGGCAGCAACTCAATGCATTTAGGCATCTAGATGTGGTGACGACAACTTGCTGAAGTTCAAACCGAGCATCAGAATGGGGAAGAAAGGGGATTTAAGTGACTTTGAACGTGGAATGATTGTTGGTGCCAGACAGGCTGGTCTGAGTATTTCAAAAACTGCTGATCTACTGGGATTTTCACGCACAACCATCTCTAGGGTTTACAGAGAATGGTCCGAAAAAGAGAAAATATCCAGTGAGCGGCAGTTGTGTGGACGAAAATGTCTTGTTGATGTCAGAGGTCAGAGGAGAATGGGCAGACTGGTTAGAGATGATAGAAAGGCAACAGTAACTCAAATAACCACTTGTTACAACCAACGTATGCAGAATACCATCTCTGAACACACAACACATCGAACCCTGAAGCAGATGGGCTACAGCAGCAGAAGAACAGGAAACGGAGGCTACAATTTGCACAGGCTCACCTCGATTTCTGCTGCGACCATTCAGATGGTAGGGTCAGAATTTGGCGTAAAGAACATGTAAGCATGGATCCATCCTGCCTTGTCTCAACAGTTCAGGCTGGTGGTGGTGTAATGGTGTGGGGGATATTTTCTTGGCACACTTTGGGCCCCTTCGTACCAATTGAGCATCGTTTAAACGCCACAGCCTACCTGAGTATTGTTGCTGACCATGTCCATCCCTTTATGACTATAGTGTACCCATCTTCTGATGGCTATTTTCAGCTGGATAATGCACCATGTCACAAAGCTCAAATCATCTCAGACTGGTTTCTTGAACATGCCGATGAGTTCACTTTACTCAAATGGCCTCCACAGTCACCAGATCTCAATCCAATAGAGCACCTTTGGGATGTGGTGGAACGGGAGATTCGCATCATGGATGTGCAGATATATATATATATAATATGAACCCTGTAGTATTCCATAAAAATAAAAATAAAGTTTTTGTACAGAAATGTACAGTTTGATTTCATGGTTAATTTTAAGCCAAATGGCTAATCTGGCAAAAGCAAAGGGTAACTTTGTTCATTTGTGAAGATTATCATGATGAACAAAACTTTTGTTGGCACAAAGCTTATTTTATGCAATAATATCCAAGAGCCAATGGAAAATTCCTGTTGGGTTTTTGTTGAGGGTGATGCTAACTAGGGTGATGCTAACTAGAAGGTTGCCCTACAAAATATATAATCGCTGCAGCCAGTTCTTCAGTTTAGAATTTTGCTCAGACATAAATTTTAACCAATATTGATCACATTTCACTAATAAAATTCTCTGTCTCTTTCTCTCTCTTTCTTTCCATTTCTGCCTGGGGCAGAATATAAATTCATGTTGGTTCAATCTAGTAATTTCACTCATAGTCATGTCGCCCTTACAGTTATATACTGTATGTCTCATTTCTACTCTCCAGGTGTTGAATGGAGAACAGCAGTTTGTGTGTGATTTGCCATCTGTTAGTCGTGGTATTGAAGGTGGGAGAGAGCACTGTACATTCACTCCCCCCACCTACAATCCCTGCCGGTACAAGACTCGAACCCACAACCTTTGGGTTACAAGTCCGACTCTTTAACCATTAGGCCATGACTTCCTGAAGACTGGTGTAATGGCTGCTGAAATTTTAGCTTTGCCATCACAGGAATAAATAACATTTTTAAAATATACTAAAATAGAAAACAGTTATTTAAATGATAATAATATTTCATAATATTACTGTTTTTGCTATATGTTTGATAAAATAAAGCATGAGAGACTTAAAAAAAACAAAACAATGGGCAGTACACTGTAAAAAATGACAGTGAATTTAACGGTAAAAGACTGTAAAAATGCTACAGTAAAAACCTGTTAAATGGTTAACGGTAAATTCCCCTATTATATACGGTGGATACCTTACATGTAATTTTACGGTAGTATACCGTTTTTGGAAGTGAAAAAGACCGTATGATTTACAGTGAATAACCGTAAATTGACATTCCCAGAATTCCCTGCGTTACATTTCAAATTTGATGTTTTTCTGTTGAAATAACTGTTTCTTAGTTTTTTCTTATCAGTTTTGTATATTAGGGTTGTGTGTTACACCTAATGTTGTTAAATGAATGTTTATTGCATTATTTTAATTCCATGTGTGTTACCATGATGGTGTTTAGTGTTTGTGTGAATGACACTGTGCACCTTCTATTTATGTTATTATTTAAAAGCTGCTTGTGATGGGCTTTTGGTTCATCATGTGACTTTCTCATCACCACCTGCATTAGGTGGTTATCAGTGTATTACAAAGGTACAAAACAGATTTCAGTACTTCAATAGGTTGGTATATTAACATTATATCAGTTAATGAAATTACGGTATTTAACTTTAAATTTAAGTTAAAACCGTAAAACATCGCTACCGTATTTTTTTACTGTAAAATTCTGGCAACTACAGCTGTCGTTTTTTTACCGTAAATTTTACGGAATTTTTTTTTCAGTGTAGGCATGTAATAAATTGGATCATATAAAACTAGCCTGCCATTATCACAAATTATTACATGGCTCTGGGGAATACTCGATTCTGATTAGTCAGTCACCATATTCCGAGGTATGTTCACTGATCTTCCCTGAATGTTGAAATTAACATTAAACAAGATTAATAAAAAAAAAATGTATGATAATTGTTAGTGTGTTAATAGTGAAAATGTACACAATCATACTGTAAGGTGGTAACTATTATAATTTCTTCATTTATTTAAATATTTTACATAACTAGACATTATCTGTTTAAATAAAGGGAGACACGAAGATATGTACATCACAGATGGAGATGATCTGGACATGGAGGACAGTGATGATGAGCTTCCACCAATGAAGTTCCTCTTAGACAATATCCAGAAGCAAACCACTGGCACCACTGAATGTAGAACTGTCACAGGTAAAGAATTAGACTGAGTGTGAACTTCACCAGCATGGAATTATAGGTTGCATCCGAAATCACATATCTACTATACAGTAGATGGAAAAACAATATGTGACAAGAAGTATGTCCAGATTATTAATATTTATAAAAGAGTAGATAAAAAGTACCATGGATGACCTACTACTACCATTGAGTGTCTGAAGTGTGCATAGGTGTCTACGAGAGAGAGTTTGTGAATGGCAGTGAAGCGACGCAACTGGTGCTGGCAGGTCATGTGATAATGACAACATGACGAATGTAGTACATCCATATTACATTCATACTATCCACCTTTTTCTTCAACGCGGAAGTAAGCATACGGGCGAGACTTACGGATCGTTAACTGCTATAGGTAAATAATGAGAAGAATAACAACGTGCAGTAAACGGTAAAACTGTTTGCTCTACAAACCAATGTGTTCTTGATTAAGATCATGTATTGTATTAAGAATACATTAAAATAATATGGGAAGACACACCGATTTTCAATATCAAGCAGCAAAACTAACTGTTTTGTACAGCTAAAAATAGCTGGATGCGAATGAGACCGGAAGCTAGACCCATAGAATTTACAAATGGCCACGCCCATTTTTACAGCAAGAAAAAGGTGGATATAGAACATACTTTTTTTAGCAATCGTGAAGTAATTACTTATCCAACATACCTATTTAAGAGAATGTGATTTTTGGATGCAGCCATAATCTGTTTGATTTAGAGGCCAGACAAAACAATTTGTGCGGGGCATTTTTATGTCTACTGTCAGAAGATAAATTGTAAAAGACAATAAGACTTGTTTTCATAGAATACATCCACAATATGCTTATTCTGTAAATGCTGCATCCAAATATTAATACTTTTATTTTTCTAAATAATTTATTGCAGATTTTATAGCACATTTCCTTTTCTTTTATTGGATTTTCTATTACATTTTCTTGAATTTATTTAATTTTTTATTTTTCCTGCCCTTTATGTCTGCTGTAAAGCCTCAGTTTCTTATTGGGGTAAATACTGTCATATATGATCTTTCCTACATTTACTTCATTTTTTCCCACTACATTTTGTGATATTTATATAAACAAAAACAAACTTTGCCAATATGGTAAGAAAACCAAATTGTAATTCATTTTATTCTCTTGAAAACACATCTGAGAGCAGTATAGCCATTTCACAAGCCATGAAAAGTATGTATTGCATCAGTTAACTGAGTTTTATGGCAGTATAAAATATGATAAGATACTAGATAATGCAATACGCCCTTACCTTGGAAGGAGCTCAGTTATGGTCAGCACTGCTGTACACACTGTAAAAAGTAATTTGTTGAACTTACTTGGAAAACCAGTATAGCCATTTCACAAGCCATGAAAAGTATGTATTGCATCAGTTAACTGAGTTTTATGGCAGTATAAAATATGATAAGATACTAGATAATGCAATACGCCCTTACCTTGGAAGGAGCTCAGTTATGGTCAGCACTGCTGTACACACTGTAAAAAGTAATTTGTTGAACTTACTTGGAAAATCTGTGGAAACTGATTGCCTCAAATTTCTCAAGCAAATTAGTTTATCATTTTTGAGTTAATAAAACTTACTGTAACTTCGTATAGGTAACTCGTGTATATGTATAGGTTACCAGAAAACTTGAGTGTTGCTAACGCAATTTGACAAGTTCAGCCAACTTAGAGATGTAAGTTAAGCTTAGTGCACAGAACTAAAACAAAACAGTTCTCTTAACAAGTCTGCTTTGTTCACATTACTAGACAAATGTGTGGAAACAGATTGCCTTAAATTTCTCAAGTAAGCTGTACTCAAAACTTAAAGTTGTTAATACAAAGACAGAAAACAGATTGTTAGCACAACAATAGGGCATTTATTTGTTTAAAACAATGTTACTTCAAGTCATTATTTTTTAGGCATGCTATCAAATCAACAATTTAACACTGAGAAAAATTGCACATACTGCACTCAGGAAATAAAAAAAAAAAAAAACCCAAACATCAACATCCCTTTTATGACACCTTGTAAATCTAGATTTACCATTTTCTAAATCAATAATGATCAATCATGAACAATTACACTGAAAAATCACGCCACAATGACATCAGAAGATTTTTCAGAGATTGCATTCTAGGTTAGGGCTGGACAATAATTCAATATCAATATGTATCGCGATATAATTTTTTTCAATAACGGTGATATGATTTTTAAACACATTTCCGATATTTCGATATACATTACCAGTTTTATCACTCTAAAAGCGCCTCCTGCTGGCAGAGAATGAGTTTTCATTTTAAATAAGCCCCCGTAAATGGCGCATCATGCACGTGAGGTTATCTGACGGAGAGACGCAAAGCAGTTTAAAGCAGAGTCCTGCACGGGTGCTGTTAGGTAAACCTGCATCC